CTTCCATGCTTCCCGAGTTATTAATTTAGGCGACAAAACTTTCACGTGACCATACGAGAAGCCTAGATGCGCGCACACGCTGAATATTAGTTTGCGGGTTCACACGTGGGAAGAGAGTCCCTTTTGAAATTTCAGCTTCCTAGCTTCTCCGATTGCCGAGTCGTAACGTAACCCATGAATAAAATGCGCTCGGAACACACGTGTAAACACAGATAGACAGACAAAAATACAAGCACACACACACACATATAGAAGAAGGGCCTTGATAACATATGTTTTGCACAACTGTTGCAGCACAAAGCGCAAAAAAAAAATTGAATCAGACGGCTCCAAAAGTGTTATGAAATAAGGAAGAAGGCTGATTTTTATGATATTTTTTACCATATCTGTGTAAACTTTGTCTCATTTGGCTTTCATCTGATTGTTTGATTCGTACACTATCAAATATTTTTCTTGTCACTTCGACTGGCTGCTGCTGAATAACTGTTGTTCTTCGATCTTCTCTGTTTTGAGCTTATCAAATTAAGCTAATTTTGTATATGCATTCAAGTGGTCACTCCCATCTTAGTGCTGGCTTTCCTATTGTTCTTTTACCGTTGCCTGAGCATCATTGAACAACCTGCTTCTTCCATCTGTTGTTGCTCATTCTCATCAAATTATCAAGCATGCACATAAACAGCTAATACCTGAGCTTATCAGGCTTAATCCAACTGCAACAGATGTGTGTATGTATTCTCAGCAAAAAATGAGCTCTCGGAAAAACCTTGATATTCTGGCTCACCCCGGCAGGCATCACTGGTACAACAGTTTTAAGATTTTGCAAAATTTCAGTTACAAAAATGACATGACGGGTTATATACCATACGGAGCACGATCACGTGAAGAATATGCTATACAGGAAGAATTTGCTAATCATAATGGCAAAGGCATTTTGTTAATGGCCGTTGTTGTTGCTAAGAATAACGGATCCGTGCTGACATCTGAGGTCCTACAGGAAGCTAACGAGGTAAGCTAACTCCACAAATTTTACTGCATTTCCTATAACTTAGAGGTGCGACGTGATGGTACAGCGCATTTCACATGTGATTATAGAAGGAAAATATTTATTTTTTATTCAAATACAGTTAATACTTTTAAAAGCAAGACTGCCTGACTA